ATGGATATGACGCCTTATTTGGTACGCAGGAAGGAGTCAAGTGAGAATGAAAAAAATGTAGGAATGGAATGGAATAGATGTGAGAATAAAATGCACATTCTCATTCTCATGTTTGGGAGTGTTTAGAGAATGAAACGAGAATGACATTCTTATTCCCATTCCTATATTTGGTATCATTTGTTCACAAATGAGAATAAAATTTAGTTTTCTAATAATACCCTTACATAAACACAAAATTTTAAAAACATAAATTTTTTAAAAATGACTAAATAATTCATTTTTTGAAAAATAAGTTTTATAAAAATAATATTTTTTTTCTTATAGAAATAATTTTTAGTTGACAGTTATATTTTGGTAAACCGCCTCAGCAACAATTTCGGACTTTTGGCTTACTAATTGCAAAATAATTTTCATAGAAATTATTTTTTATTATAAATAATTATAATTTAATATTTCTAACTTCTAATGCTACTTGTCTATTGCTTGTACGAATAGCTAATGCTACTAGCATCATTGTCCACAAACTTATACAATAGACTGAATTCCATATGCATGCTACATGATTTATGATTGAATTCTATGTGCATGCATGAAGAGAGGGATCGCAAGAAAACACTAAATTTTGAAGGATTGGAAAAAACATATATGTTAACTTTTAGTCTGTATATAAAATTTTTATGAAATTTAAAATGCACCTTTAACTTTCAAAATTTTGATTAGGAATTTGAAAAAATGTTAACCTAGAAAGTTTGAATAAATAGAAAACATGTTAGCCTCTAATCAAAATATAAAGTTCGAAAAAATGTTAACCTAGAAAGTTTGAATAAATAGAAAACATGTTAGCCTCTAATCAAAATATAAAGTTCCAATCTCATCAATTAGTTTGAATAAATAGAAAACATGTTAGCCTCTAATCAAAATATAAAGTTCCAATCTCATCAATTAAGCATATTATTTCTTGTTGTGAGTGCTTTGAAAAAATTACTGAAAAGATTAGGCATATATGCTTCAATAACTTCAAATCATACATCCAAAGATAAAATATTTGCTAACCTAATTGCCAATAGATTACGCAACTGAGTTGTCAAAAGATAAAAAAGTATTATAAAGATTAGGTAAAGATTAGCCACACATACATATATATTAAAAAATAATAATGGTTACCTACCCGAGTCGCTTCGAGGCGAAGATGAGATTTTTTCTATTGTAGACACGATCAAACTAGGGCGATGTCGAACAAAGAATAGTATTTTAATATTTTACATCTATTCATAGATTTG